ACACACACACACACACACACACACACACACACACACACACATACACTTGTCTCTTTATACTTGTGTGGATTTTGCACTGACTTTCATTCATTTCTACAGCCCAACCCTAACCTCACAGGTACATACCTAACCTTAAACCTAACCCCTGACCCACAAATGGCGTTTTTCCATTGTGTAGACCAGGTAAATGTCGACACAATGACAAAATGTTCTCATAAGCATAGCACGTCAAAATATGTCCACACATCAATATAAACACACGCACACAGTGAACGAGAAAACGTTAGATGTCCCTCTGATTAGATTAAATGCAGATTTGCATGTTTTATTTTTAGACATTTTTCTATTTTCAGTGCATCTCTGCCTGTAGAGGCGTGAAAAGACAGAGTCACAGCAGAGCCCCAGAGATGGAACGAAGTGTGTGTGTATGTGTGAGACAGAGAAAAATTGACGTCGTCATAAAGTCACATGACTGCTGAGTTTCCTTGGAGACAGCAGCGGTGTAGTACATTGAGATGCTCGCCTGCTCAGTTGAGGACAGATTAGGGATCTGGCAGCAGCAGCATTTGGATGTATTTTCCCAGCAAGGCAGGTGTTTCTCTCTTCGCAGAGGTAAGTGTGATGCCTCGTGCCCTGTCTTCTGTCTTCAGCTCACTGTCATGCACAGTAAACATTGTTCAGATGAACTGGGATTTTGTGTCTGCATGCAGTCTGTGAAGAAGACAGACGATGGCACGTGCACMGCTGAGTGGTGACACTTGATGTAATGCACGCAGGGACTGTACACAGATTGTATTTAAATTTGTGAGGCATAGGGAAATGGAATCGCTTGAACTAATAAATTCATGTTTTTAAACAGAATGTGCCTGAACATTTCCTGCAGGACTCCACACTAATTCATGAAACATACTTTAATAAGTGGGTAAAAGTGCGAGACATTATTACTACCTGCTACTGAAAGCAAAAGAGCAAATTTGGATTTTCCCTTGTATGTCTATTTGTTAGCAAATCTATCATAATGTAATTAAACTTTCAAGAAATAATCAATAGGTGTGCCGCTATAACTAAATAACTTTGGAAGTAAATTTAATTCAACATGTCCACCACAGTAACCGACATTTGCTAAAACAAAAATACTGTAACTTGGACAACATTACAGATAATAAGCTAAAATGTGATGCTGTAGTAGCTGAAACTGATAACCAACACACACTTGGAGTGATAACAGACAGCACAACATATTTTTAAAAACATTTTGGAACATTTTCTTCAAGTTAGCAGAACCTAATTTAGCTCATCAATTTGCTAAATGTTTTAAAAGTAAGCAAAAAAAAAGCAATCCCGCTAAATGAGAAGCTAGTTCCGCTATTAGCYGATTAGTAGAACTGTGCCCACCGCTGCTGAAAGCCTTTATGTGAAAATGAGAGCATACAAGAAAACCAAACTAAATACAGGTTAATACAGAGGAAGGTGATTGACTGTAGTTTCTGCCTGTGGGAAGCTGTGCACCTGAGATGTGAACAGAAATGTTTCTGATCTCTTTATAAAAATACGAGCTCTGGAGGTTCAGGTGTCAATAAGCCAGCCACAGTTTCAGCCTCCAGATGAACCCTACTACTTTCTCAGACAAATGACCTTCTGCAATGTCATCTTTCCCATCGTCTGTCATTAAGTTTCCAGTTTAATGAGTTTCCCTGTCAGCTCATGTTGCTCTTGCATGAGAACAACAACCCACAACAAATCATTTASTTTTAATTAGGGTTAAGCTAATCACTGAAAAACATCCAAATTGCTGTTTTCTAGAAAAAAAAATCTGTTATTTTGCAGCAGTTTGAGATTAACTGGAAGACAACATGCAGTCTTTTGTTTTGGGTAGTAATTTTGCCCAAAAGACAATCCTGTTTTTTCTGGTGTCTGTATGTGTTTATGTGTGCRTCTATCATATGATCCAGAGGACAAATTTGCACAAAACTTTCAGAACGTAAGTACATCTTTAAATGTAGCCTACATCTACAAATTATTCAAGGATGAAGTCAGTCCAAATTAAAGGTGACATATCATGTTTTATAATCCTTCTTTTTCACATTCAAATCATTCATTTATAAAGTGGAACTGCAGCGCTTTGGCCTGAATTCCTCCTTATTTTAACTTTATCWGTCCCTCTTTGAAGCAGCTGGTTTTGATGMTGTTCTTTTAAAWCCAAACAAAGCGTTTCGCACCCCGTCTTCCTTCAACTTCCAGACTTRTTCAGTTYRACAKAGGGGTTTACGCCTATCCAGAATWTTTTTATTTACAATTTAATTAAAAGATGTCAACAAGGGAAGACTTATCCATCCAGCTTTACATGTTGGAGCCAGAGTCTGACCCAGACCCAGAGGAGAATGTAGACAAAATTGTAGTTGGTAAGTTCATACCTTATATAGAAGTTCCCTTGCAAATAAATGGATTTAAGAGTTCAGAAAACATCAGAAAATAGAGTTAACTCAACAAGTTGAAAAATATTACCCAAACAGGATATAAAGATATCTTTGCAGCACTGGGAGAAACTAAATTCAAATTTTCTGCTCTTCCATAGACTCCAAGATCACAATAAAAGGCAATTAGGAGCTGTAAAAGTGGATTTTACATGATATGTCCCCTTTAAGTTTGCTGCCACCACCAACTGAAATTAAAACTCACAAAATCTATTTCACAGCTACTGATGTCAGCTTTGGTGTAGTATTAACTTATTCCCAACACATACTCTGAGCACTAACAGACTGTGCAAAATCATTATACTTTTGCAATTAACTATTTRAAGTCAGTGGTGTACATCTGTTAGCAAAATATCTCATGAGCCACTGGATGGATTTTAATGAAACTTTCAGGTGTACATCTTCAACTGATGAACTTAAAGARCCAACCAAATTCAAAATAACAGCCACAGCCAGCAGACTTAAAAATGTTTGGAGTTTACAAAGTCTTTTGATCATGTAGGTTTTTCCAAGTACTCGCCTTCCACAGCCCAAAAACATAAGTGTTTCRACTGCCTTCAGGCCCTGGTGTCCTTTGAAAATAAGATCTGTGATCTCAGTGAGATTTGCCTGATAAAGGTTTAATAAAAACAAGTAAAAACAAATATTGCCATGAAACAGTCAAGCTTACTTATAYTGAGCTAAAATGTGATGTGATATTCGTTGCGAATCATAATTTGAGCGAGACATTTTATTACATCACATTATGTTTTCAAGGTTTGACTAAAATGACCAATTTCTCAAAAAAAGCAATAGTAGTGGCATTAGGTACTGTGCATTCCTTCAAGGAATGTCAAGCCTTTAAATTTAATGACTCATCACCTCTGCTTGTGTCATTTACTCTTAACCCTTTGGTACAGTTGGATTAAAGTGATGCCAGAAGAGMTGATTCATGATTGTTAATAAAATGCTAATTCCCTCTCCTCCACTTCCTGGTGTCATGCCACGGGTCTCTGCAGGGCAGCATTAAAATCCTGTAATCTTGTCTTTTAGTCAGCCGAAACCAGTGACCAACAACATGAACGACACTATGCTCATGTCCTCTGGGACAACAACTCCTACCAAAAGGTAAGCAACGCCCCCAGGCTTGATGTAACTTAGAACAGAGATTCTTAACCTATGGGCCGCAGGCGCCACCTAGAGGSCCTGAAAAGAACAACAGTTCTTAACTTTGGGCCGCAGAGGGCCGCGGGACTGCATTGATTTTGAATAAGATGCAGTACACTTTCTCACCACAAGTAGCAGTAGTGCCCCACTCAGATGTTTAACAACTTTTTTAATATGTAGAAGAAGAAACTTAGAAGCCTGCCAAGAATGCAAACCTACTTTAAATGAAAAATAAAAGCAAAAATRAAGGTAATTCATCAAAAAATGCTAAAGTTTGTTACTAATATGAAGTGCAGCTTCTGGTTCTATCATGCAATATTTTAAAAGTTCAAAACATTATCAAATACAGTTGCAGATGTAGGAGAGAGAGCTTAGGGTGAATTAAGCTTTTCCTACATCTCTCATAAACAAGGTTATGAGGAAAGTTTTACCWAGGTATTTTCTCATTACTTTTAATATCTTGATTGTGCGAAGTGAAAAGTGACACAATAAGTGAACGTTCAGACTAGTTCAAGTTGATTCATAAAAGACTATGCAATCATTTATTTACACAAATTGAACAAATCATAAGTACACCTGATTGTGGTTTTCCTATAAAAGGCATCAGAGTTAAATGAGGTAAAATCCGCGTCCGAATTTCAATTCACATCAACTCAGATTACTTATATAGAACAGTAAAACGATCAGCTCTGATGTTACAACCAAACAATTTTACTGGCACTTTCAGCTTAAGTTTTGGCAAATAAAGAACAAGAAAAGGATGAAAGTAAGGTTAGGATCTCTACTAATTTTACTTTATCAAGTGTGTCCAACCGAATCAGCACGTCCCTTCTGCACTCAGTTTCCACATGACACGTCACCCGGAACACGTCAGTTTTACCTGGTGATGGCCTCCTAAGCAACCCCTGGGTAGGAACTGTCTCACCTCCGATCAGTCAGGGAACTTTTTAATCGGCTCGCTCACTGTTCCTTGGAGAGAAAGGTGTTATTTCAGGTAACTTTTCGTCTGTTTCAGTCCAAGCCAGAAAGATTCAAGCTGTACATCCGGTTCCTTCTTTCAAAATAAAATCTCCCCTCTGGAGTTAAAAACACTTGGAGGCGAGACGCCTCGGGTGGGACATCCGGCTGGCGTGCCGCTGTCCCGGCTGTTAGATCTGCCCTAGTTAGCTCATGGGCAAGACCTAACGAGCCAAACTGGCTTCTCCGGAGAGAAACTCAGCTTTCCTTCCAAGTTTGGCATCCAGGAAGAAGAAGTGTCGCTCAAAGACGTCCGTGGTTAGTAATAGAAACGGACGACTTTGGTTCCGCCCTCAAGCGTTAAGATGAGTCAGAGAAAGGAAGAAAGATGAAGACTTGCCAGCCAGGCGCCAGTCAAGGTTAAATTCTGTGGTTGTTCAACAACAGAATATGATAACATTTCTTTAACTTTTCTCCTGATAGACTCTAAGAGAAATCACTGCAAAACATTTATGATGATTTATTAACATTTCTGTTTTATAATCAGTCTGAACCATTCTGTTAGTCCAGATAAATGAAAGATTTTCTCAAGAAAAATCCACAATTATATTACTGTGTTCACAGTAAAATAAAAACAGTGATTTATATAAAAACACAATGAAAATATTGTAATGATTTTCTCTGTGATTTTTATACCATTAATTATTAATCTTTTAGGCAAGATAAAAGAGGAGAAGTGGTTCCACTTTTCCTGTGACAGTCATTATCATGATTTAACAAATGCATAAACATTCTTAGTTAAACAACAAATGAATCACGAACAGAAGAGATTGTTCTGCCCATTGTCTGATTAAGAGAACCGAGGGGTTCTCTTCTGGGTTGAAATGACCTGTCATGGCCTAAATAGAGTTCAGTTTGTGACAGAGTTCCTGTCCTCTCATCAGGCCTGTCCGAGGCCTGCTTCGAGGCAGTAAATCTTGTTTCCTCACTCGAGGTGACCCCTACACAGCTTTATTTAATTTGCACTTTGTCAAATCAATTTTTTGTAGTTTATTTTTAAACATTTTGAATGTATTTTAAAGAAATGTTAAACTTGTCAAAAAAGCTGTTACTATTATTGTTTGTCACTAACATGAAGAGCAGCTTCTGGTTCTACCATGCAAAATGTAAAAAGGCTTGATTTTCATTTGTACTTTATCAAATTTAGTTTTACAGTTTTTTTTATTTGAAACATTTACATTAAACATTTTGAATGTGTTTATTTTATGACCACACTTTTATTTATTGAATTGTCTATTTTTGTTAGTGTTTATGTTAAAAATATATATTTTTGTGTTGATAAGCCTGAGTGGTCTGTTGACTGACCGTTGTAATTGTTCAAATTATTGTTATGGGCAGGTTACAACATAAAAACAAWTGTTTGTCATAGTCGTGTCTTGTGAATATTTGCCAGAAGTTTTACTTTTAAACTGTAAGTGTATTTAATTTTGTTATAATGCAAATACAATACAACTTAAACCAAGATTTAGAATAATTTTATTTTAAACCAGGATTTATAATGATTATCATTTTGATCCATACATTGGTAATGTCTGACTGGGCCTCGTGTCACTTTATGTTTAACAAATTGGGCCCCGAGGTCAAAAAGGTTAAGAACCCCTGAACCCTGTTTTTAAAAAACTGACAAAGTGACGCATTAAATTACACAAACTGTAAATGTAMTCTATCACTTCAAACTGAGGATTAAGTCCCAAAGTGGTATGTGGAGAAATAGACCATTATAGTACATAKATTAAAATATTGCAATAATTGTGTTTTGTCTAAATGTAATAAATGACCTTGTCTATGGGTTTTTTAAATGAAATATTTCTAATGAAATATTAAAGAATTGTTTGAAGCACTTGTTTGAGCAGCAGCTACAAAAAAACTGATTTTGAGCAAAAATGCCTGAAATTTTTGTCATTTTCTCTGCAAGCTACAGT